GGCAAGGAAACAAAGTGTGTGGCCTTCAGGAGGGCTGAAGGGACAGAGTCATGGCCCTTCAGGGTGTCATGAAAGTCCGCAGTCCCTAGCAAATGGCCATCCTCAAACAGCTAATGGACCGGGAAAGGGAATGGCCTCCTTTTTGTGGTTGGAATCACAAGAGGGAGAGTCCAGACCTGGGAGTGTGGGACCCTGGGTGCCAGGCAAACTCTGCCAGTGTCACCAGCGGCCCTTGCTTATTGGCCAGCCCCTTTTGGTTTCTCTATCTGTATAGAGGTGGGTAGAGAGAGCTTCTCTAGAAAGTTCTTCCTTACATCAAGCCCTGTCTTCTGCACTGGAAATGCTTAGGGAGCAGCCCCAGGGAGGCCCATGTCCCCCTTGCTTCCCTCCTCGGTCCCTTTCCTCCTGTCCCATTCCTGGTCCCCACTGTGCCCTTGCCCCCTCCTGCCTCCTCAGGGGCCCCAGGCCTTGGTCATTGCCCCTTGCTCCTCCCTTGTCAGTGGCTCCTGTCAGCTCTGTCCTCCTGGGACCACCTCAAAGGTGCTCTCAGCCTAAGAAACGAAGCCAAGAGCAAGAGGCCTGCCCTCAGTGCCGTCCCCACTAGCCTTCACCCACACTCTCCCTTTCCCTAATGACTCAGCCCTCTCATCTCCTGCCTCCAGCCCTCTTCAGTCCTCACTCTCCTCCCCCACTCCCAGAATGCCTTCTTTCCCAGGTCCTTGGTCACTGCCTGTGCCCAGGCCCCTCCTCTCCATGGGCCCCACAGCTGCCGACCCTCCTCCCTCGCCCCATTTTCCTCCTGTCACTTTTGTTGTGGCTGTCACAGCCTCCTCTGGGGACAGCAATCTTCAGCCCAGCCTTGATGTGGGGGTCCCTCTGGCTGGGACCTGGGCCCCCTCTCTTCTCATACCCACTCTTTCACTGGCTGAGATTGCAGCCACCCCTTTGGCCGTGGGGGCCACCAGTGTGCCGAGGACTCCCAGGTCAGTGTTCACCTGCAGCCCTGTGACAGACTGAAATGCACCCAGAGAGATGTGCATGTCCTCAGCCCTGGAACTGGACTGCGACCTTATTTGGAAATAGGGACTTGACAGATGTGATTAAGTTAAGGACCTTGAGATGGGGAGATTATCCTGGATTATCCGAGCAGGCCTTAAATGCAGTGACAATTGTCCTTATAAGAGGGAGGCAGGAGATTTGACACACACACAGACACAGAGCAGGAGGTCACATGAAGAGGGAGGCAGACACTGGAGTGACACGGCCACAAGCCAAGGAACGCCTGGAGCCCCCAGAAGCTGAGATAGGCAGCAGTGATCCTCCCCCAAAGTTTCTGGAGGGAGCACAGCCCTGCTGACATCTTGATTTTGGACTTGTGGCCTCCAGAACCACGAGAGAATCAACCTCTGAAGTCACCCGCGTATGGTCCTTTGTTACGGCAGGCCCAGGAAACTCATACCAGCCCCAAGCTGGCCCCTGAGAACAACTCCTCCTGCCAGCCCAGCTCCAGCCTCCTGGGCCAGCTCAGCCCCCATGTGCAGCAGGCGCTGGGCCCTTCAGTGCCTGGGCTCTCCAGGGTTGCAGTGGCTCTGTGCCACCCTGGCAATGGTGCCCTGCCCCGTGTATCCAGACTGGAGGCAGGTTTGCCCTCCCAAGACTGGAGTCGGGAGCCCATGGGGGCAGGGCTGGGATACCATAAGGGGACTAGCGATGGATGAACACTGTCCCCCCAAGTTCTCCGAGCAGCCCCTCCACCCGCCCCCTCAGGCCCTTCAAGGAGGGGTTGTCCCTCCGAGATGCCCTGCCCCCATCCCCAGCCATGGCCTGTGGACACCTGGCTGGTTGCCTCTCCAACAAGCCCTGACTCGTCTAAATCCGAGCAGTAGATTCGGCTTAGGCTCCAGCTGGGCCCCGCTGCGTCCAGAAGGCACCTGACCTGCAATAAGCACTAGGAAAGGTCCCTCACCCCAGCCCCGAGTCACACAGAGTCTGTCCTTGGAGGCCTCTCTGTTCACGGGACAGCCCTCTCCAAGAGAGCTGCTCCCATGACTCTCACCGCCCCGTGTGTGCGTGTGCCAGTGTGTGTGTGTGTGCGCACATGTGTGTGCCTGCCTCAGGTCACCCTCTGGCTCAGACCCCTCCTCTGAGCTGCACCTGCAGGCCCACAGCTCCTGGGGTGCTCCTGGCCCTCAGATGGCATTCCTCATGGCCCTTTCCCCTTCCTCCAGGGGCCTCAGGCCAAGGGAGTGCCACCCCCCACCATGCCCATGCCCTTCCTCTCACCCCATGTCCAATCTGTCCCCAAGTCCAGGGGCTCCTACTCACCCCAAGATCAGGCTGGAACTTGGCCCCTCCCCCATCTTTCCCACCCACCCCCTGACCCCATCTGTCTGCCCACAGCTCAGGGTGGGCCATCACAGCCCTCTGCAGTTTGGCCGCCTGGGGGCTTCCTGAGCTCTGAGAGGAGGCCGCCCTGCATGGCATAAAGTGTACATGACAGCATACATGAGGGGCTGTTGGCTGGCCGGAATAACCCTGATGTTGCCATGAGGTTTTCTTTTAAGCCCAATCAGCCTCAACTTTTGTGTTATTATTATTACTACTGTCATCTAATAGTTTGCAACACACTTCGTAGCAGAGTGAGGCTAAGTAATTAGCCTTTGATCAGCTGCTATGGGTATGGAGCCCTCCCTTCTAACCACGACCCACAAACCCTTTCGGGGTGTGGCTCTGTTCACCTCCTTGGTCTGGGCAGAGTGTGGGTCCCAGCCGCAGGGCACTGTCCCCTACTGTGTGGGGTGACCCACCAGGCCCACAGGTTGCCTTCCCTGGGGCCCAGACATGGGAGTCTCCTCTGTGCCTACAAGCATTATTACACTTGTCTCACTAGCTTGTCATGGCATCTGCGTCCCCAAGTGAGAGGACGCAGACAGGAATGGAAGGGCAGGAGTGCTGGAAGGGAGGCAGGGTGAGAAGATGGAGATCCATGGGGGGCTATGTTGGCCCCACACAACACAGTCTGGTGCCCCAGACCCGCCTACAGAGAAACAGCCTGAGGGCTCCGTGTTTCTCTCTCTGCCAGGCCCCAGTGCTGGCTGCCCCTCCTCCTGGCCAGTGAGGTGACTTGGCGGAGGCCCTGACTCCTGGCCCCTGGCCAGTGCCCTTGCCCTGAGCCTGCCCAGCTCAGCAGAGATTGCCGGGCCATGGAGCACATGGCCCAGAATAGTGCTATGATGCTGATGGTTGACATTCTATCACTAGGCCACCATGCTGAGCAGCACCTCCCATCCCCAAAAGGAGGAACCCGGGGACACCGGGCATCCCGGTGCCAGGCCAGGCAGAAGGGCATGCGGCTGTGTGTGTGGAACCAGTGTGCGGCACCTCCGGGTTCCTGCTCTCCTGGGCTGGCACTTCTGGAGGGTCCTGCCTGCTCTATTTTCGTTGGTGGCCTGTGCCTGCCCAGGGAAGCCTTGGCTTCCACCACCCGAGGTGGAGGTCCCTAGTGTGGGATGAAGGAAGAGCAGCCAGGCTCTAGCCTGCCACCACCTCAGCCCGCTGGGCTTGCCATCCGAGGGGCATTGCTGTGGGAACCATTCTCCCCATGCTGCCCTTTCCAGGGCAGACCTGTGTCTCCAGTGAGCAGGCTTCCCAGGCCGTGCCCTGGATCTTCTCTTGGGATCTGGTGCCAGCACGCCGCAACGTGGGCTTGGCTCTGCCGGCACACAGGGTGGACGCTATGCCAGGATCCCGGGCCCGGCCGGCACAGGTGGGCGCACACAGCACACTGCCCCATCCCCAGGAAGCCCAGCCCACCCAGGAATGCGGCCCCTGGTGCTGACAAGGGTGCGGCACACAGCTTTGACCACAGCTGGAATCCATCATTGTTCTGAGCTTCCAGAACCCATCAAAGCAGGCAGGCAGGGCCCTGGAGGATTTCTCGGCTCCTCTCTGGAGGGGGCGTCTAGCCTTGTGCTCTGTAGCCGGCAGATGCTCGGCAAATGCTCGTCTCTGGGAGGGCAGGTGCTACCTCACCTGGGCCTGTTTAAGCCCAGTCTAAGGACAGCTGGGGCAACACAAGTGCCTAGAAGGGAGGGGAAGGGGCCAGCCTGGAGCCTTCCGCCTGGTAGCCTAGGGCCTCCTTGTCCAGCCCCGGACCCTTGCCTGAGGGCAGGGAAAGCAGCAAAGAGGAAGCGCAAGGCTCATAGTGGCTCCCCTTTCTGCTTGGTCTCCAGTGCCACCCTGAGAGCAGCGGCACACAGAGCCATATTGCACAGTGTTTCTTTAATTGAAAGACAGCAACCAACCTCAGAAGCAGCCCTTTCTCAAGCTGGGTGTGATTGCTCAAAACTCCCACCAGGGGCTGGAAGGGGAGGGGAGGGGAGACCTAGCCACCTAGCCATGGGGGGGAAGGGGACAATGAAAAGTGTGCTGGGGACTCTGGCTGAATGCTGGGCCCCTCCCGGGAGGCAGACTCTCAGGGTCTGACCAAGCTCAGTGCCCCCCTCTTGCCTGTGGAGCGTGTGTGGGGTGCAGTGCCTTTATTTGCCAGCCTCTGCCAGGACTGTCCAGGCTCGGGGGCGAGGCCTGGGCAGGGCAGGCTGCTCTCCGCTCCCCCGCCCCCAGCTTGCCTGTGTAGGGGCTAGGCAGAGGCCCAGCGAGAGAGAGACCAAACCCAGCCCAAGGATAGGAAAGAGGAGAGGGAGAACAATAGAGAGAGAGAGACAGAGAGAGAGAGAGAGGTAAAGCACTGGTCCAGGGGCCAGTAGATCAAGGAGGCTCAGATAGATGGGCCATGAACTTGCAGCAGGGTGGTGGGGGGACATGGGAGGCCAGGGGTAGCAGGCAGGGCCAAGGAGGGTTGGAAGCTGGAAGTACACGAGAAGGAGGAATGTGTTCCGGGCAGGTGGGTGGGCTTGGTGGGGTCTGTTGTCTCCATCCCTGCTAGCCGCCCCCATCCCCCAGACCCAGGGACCATCTTCCTTGGACTGGAACCTCGGACAATTTGGTTTCAGGGTGAATGGGAAGGAAGCTTAGTCGGGGCACCTCTGAGTGGCTACGATGGGGGGCAGGGGCAGCTTGTGATGGGGGCCGGGCCTTGCTCCCCACCTGCACGCTTGGGAGCCCAGGTGAAAGCATCAGGGAGCAGCTAGTGGGGGCCAGGGAAGAAGGATGGGGCTGGGTTGCGTGCAAGTGGGCGCTGGCTTCGCTCCCTTGCTCTGCCTGCCCCTTCAGGACATCCGCCGTGCTCCCCAGAGACCCTGCCCAGGCCACCATGGTGGCTGCTGCTGCCTCTACTTTTTGTAGTTGCCAAACTGGATGGCCAGGCGGTCGGTGACGCAGCGAAAGGTGGCTGGCTGCACCTCCCAGTAGGGCACGGGGTTGTTGAAGAGGCTGATGCCGTTGTAGTAGGCCCTCTTGACCCCGAAGCCCATGGGGCAGAAGTCGTTGACGCCTACCTTGGTGATGTTGTTGGTGTGCAGATAGACCACCTGAGGGTAGAAGAATGTGGCCCAGGCTCAGTGCCAGAGGCCCAGTTGCCTCCAGCCACCCTCCTCGAGTCTGTTCCAGCCTGGATGGGCCAAGTGGAGGGCAGAACCCAGAGGGCTCAGGCCCTCCCTCCTGGCCGAGTGCTGTCCGCCGCCTCATGGGCATCATTTCTTTGCCTTGCATCCGCACAGCCCTTCAAGGGCCCGGAAGTGATTCTCCCATTGTTGGGAGGAGCAAACCGAGACATGGGTATGGTCGTCGGGCAGGTGTTGGCCAGGATTAAGGCACTGGTTTGTGACCAGGAGCCAGGATGAGGGGCTCAGGTGGGGTGTGTGTTGGGGGGGAGGTGAGGAGTGCATGGGGGATGGGGCATGGGGTGGTGGTGTCCATGTGGGTGAGATGGACCTCCCTCTCTGTTCCCCAGGCTCTGGGGCTGCCCCAGGGGAGCAGCCTTTCACTCCAGAGACCAGGGGCACAAGAGGAGAAAGAGCCTGCAGGGTGACCTCCTCTTCCTTCTAGTCCTCAGTGCCACTTGCCCTCTAGCCTCCCAAATTCCCTGAAACCTTTCTCCAGGGGAGGGGCAGACAAGACAGGAGGGTGGGTGGGTAAGGAACCCAATGATGGGGAGGAGGCACTCAGATTGCAGCAGCGCCCTCTCGGGGTGAGAGGACACTGGCTGCTAGAGGGCGCGCTCGGCTGGCATGGACGGCGCTACCCCTGTAGCTGGGCTCCCCCACCCCGCCCCCTGCAGGACTCGGCTGGACTCAGCTCCGACTCAGCCCACGGGACTAGCAGGTCTCCTAGCATGTTTGAATAGGGCTGAGGAAGAGACTGAGGCCCAGAGAAGGGCTGGGCAAGGCCAAGTTCACCTATGTGACTGGAAACCAAGCCAGGGACAGGGGCCCCTGAGACAACCCCGGGCAAAGCCCTGCATCCCCTCATCAGCCCACTTCCTGATGCCCTGGGCTGTCCCTGTCTTGCCACAAATCTGTGCACCCCCATGCCCAGACTGTTCCCCAAACTCCCAGGCCCTGCCACGCCTTTCTGGTGTCCCACCCACCAGGGAGAACTTCAGCCCCAATACCTACCAGGCCAACTCCTGCTCATCCCTCACCACCTCTCTCCACCCGTGCCCCACCCTCCTCGCTGTCCATGGTGGAGTCCCCGCTCTCCTCCTCCTCTTCCTCAGCACAGAGGGAGGGGTCCTTGTGATTGCTCCTTTTCAGATGAGAAAGTGGAGGCAGAGAGAGCAGGAGTAACTGGCCAGATCATGCAGCTGGCCGGCTGCACAGAGGTCCCACTCCACTCTGTACCTGGGCCCTGCCCGTGCTGGGCCCGTGCAAGGAAGGGGAGGGGGCTGAGGAAGTGCTGGGGACATGGGCTGCTCCCCTCCCCTAGTCTTAGAGAACCTCTCACCTGGAGGAGCTTGAGGTCAGGAAGGCCGGCGGGCACCCTGGACAGCTTGTTATTGTCCAAGTGCAGCTCCCGCAGCGTGGGCAGAAAACTCAGGCTGCCGTTCTCGATCATGCGGATCTGGTTGTGGCCCAGGCCCAGCCTGCGAAGGGGCGCAGGAGAGGTACTGAGAGGCTAGAGGAGAGAAGAATGGTGGCACGGCCCCCCTGGACCCCCAGCCCACCTGTACAGCTTGGAGTAGCGAAGCAGATCCTCCAGCTCAATAGCCTGGATTTTGTTGTGGTCCAGATGGAGTTCATTCAGGGACTCGGGGAGGTCTGCAGGGAAGAGAGGGTGCCCTGAGCTGAGTGCAGGAGGGGAAGCCATGTGTGGGGCCTGGTGCTGCGTGTGTTGTGGGTGGGTGTTGGGGGGTACGGATGTGGGCAGGAGCAGAGGCCCTAGTTCTGCCCCAGGTTGGAGGATGGGGCTGCCGAAGCCCTCCCTGAATAGATTGGGTGGTTCCCAATGGCTCCACACCCCCAGCTCTGCCCACCTGGGCCCTGGAGGCTGGGCAGCATGGGAAGCAAGGGCTGCTTTCCTACCTTTGGGGATGCCAGTGAGCTTGGCCTCAGAGATGCGCAGGTAGTTGAGCTTCAGGCCATCGAAGGCTCCAGGTTCAAAGCCACTGTTCTCCAGGGGATTCCCACCCATCTCTAGGAGAGAGGCCCCCTCAGCCCCAGAGCCGGAGCTGGGTGGCTGCCCGCACCCCTGCCCCGGGGCCTTTCGGCTTCCTGGCTTGGGCTGGCCTGATGTGCCAGCTAATCACCCACTCCCGCATCTCCCCCTGAAGGCAGTTCCACTAATTTACTGGGTTAGTTACAAACTCCTATCTGTTCAAGACCACTAGTCCCCGAGGGCCCTGGCCCTGGCATTGGCCTCAGGGGGCAGGGGGAGCAGGAGGAAATGGAGGGGAGCCAGAGATCAAGGCTGGGTGACCCCCAGCCTGCCCAACCCCCATGGCTGGGCCCCTGGTGGTCCCCAGCCAGCGGTCTGGCTGCACTGGCCCTTTCCCTTCCCTCTCTTTACAGTCCCCTGCTTTCTCTTCACCTTGCCTTTGTGGCTCTGGGGCATGCCCTAGACCAGCCTCCAGAATGTTCCATGAGGACCCCAGGGCAAGGCCATGGTGGTGCTGCTCTGGGTGGAAGAGGCCCCTCTCCCAGACCCCCTCCTGCCAGCCACACTCACCGATGCAGTTCATGCTGCGCAGTCCGCTGAACACACCCTTGGGCACCTTGCGGATGCGGTTGTCATGGATGCGGAGCTCCACCAGAGAGCTGGGCAGGTTGGGAGGGATCTCCACCAGGTGGTTCTTGGAGATGTAGAGCTTCTGCAGCTTCCGCAGGGGGCTGAAGGCCTTCTCGTGGATCTTGGAGATCTTGTTGTTCACCAGGACGAGGGCCTGAGGCAGCATGGGCACCAGAGTTAAAGGCACAGCTCCCTACCCCGCCCGCCCTCTTCTCTCCCTCCCTCCCCGCCACCTGAGCTAGATGTCTGAGCTCCAGCTCCGCCTGTGCTTGCAGCGGGGAGCCAGCACTCAGGCCCGGCAATGCCACTATTGCCGACCCAGCACAGCCCGCCGCTTTCCCAAGCCTCAATTTTCCCACGTGCACCCTGGCTACAATGAAATCTGTTCTTCCTGTGTTGCTGGGAGGAGCCAATAAGATTAAAAGTTTTTAGCTGAAAAGGGCATTGGGCTGAGTGATCCTGTCCTGCGCTTCTGGTAGCTGATGGACACACGTAACCCAGGAGCCGAGGCACTCCCAGCACAGCTGCCTCCAGGCTTCTCTCAGGATGCCGTGGGCCCCAGGCCGCTCTCACACTCCCCATCTGGACCCAGCCCCCCAGCTGCAGACGGCCCACCTCCTCGCCGTGCCTCCGAAGGGCAGGGTGGGCTTACGTAGAGCTGCTGCAGGCCTTTGAAGTCATCCTTTCGGAGCTCCGAGATGTCATTGTTCTGCAGGTCCAGCAGCGTGGTGTCAGGTGAGATCTCCTTGGGCACGGCCTTCAGACCTGGGGGCCGGTGCCACCGTCACCAGTGTGAGCCAGTGCCATGGCCCCAGAGCACAGTGACACGCATGCACACAGACACATGCATTGGGACTCTGCGCAGACAGGTGGAAGCTCCAGAGCTGGCAGATGGAGGCTCTTCTCGCTCCCCACTTACTTGCAACCAGACAACTGGATACCCTCCCACACGGAAATCAGGGTCCCCAATCCTGCTTGGGGTCACCCCATCCCCACCCCCACCTTTCCATGTGCATCCCATGGGACAGACGTGTGTCCCCTTGGTAGGGGCACTCAGGCTGGGCCTGCGCCTCCATGAAACCCTGTCCCCCACCCAGGCCGTGGGACTGACCCAGGTCAGAGCACTGAACGACCCGCAGGTGGCAGTGGCAGCCGAAAGGACACATGGCGCTGAAGGTGGGCGTGAGAGAGTCCAGGTCCGGGACGCCTGAGGTCGTGTCGGCACCCGAAGCCTCCTCATCGTTCAGCATGGGCAGTCCGTCATCCATGGTGAAGTCCCAGAAGCCCTTCTGCTCAAAGGGCAGGGCCTGGCTCAGGGCCAGCAGGGATGCGAGGAGCCACAGGGGCCACATGGTGGGTGTGCCTGGGAGGCCAGGGGGAGGAGGGGCCGTCAGAAGGCTTTGCCAGCACCAGCACCCGTCCTCTGGGCCCTTTCCCAGCCACCCTCCCAAAACCAGGGGCTGCAGTTCTGTGTGTATTGGCCTGTGTCCCCCATCCCTCAGGGGGGACAGCCAGACCCCAGGGCAAGAGGCAGCAGAGGGAGGGGTTGAGGGTGGCAGGAGGCACTAGGCAAGATGGGGGTGCTGCTGGCCAGGAGGCACCTCCTTCTGCTCCCTTCAGCTCCCAGGCAGGACTTGGCTTCAGCGGGCAATGCAGCAGTTAGCGAGTCTGCAGCGCCCCCTCCCCCCACCCCGTCCCCACCACACACACACACACACACACACACACACACACACACACACACAGACACTCTCCACTGAGTCGGCTGGCAATCTGCCTGGGGGGTCAGTGAGGCGAGTGGAGGAGATGGAGAGGGAAACCCAACCATTTTCCCCCACGGGCTTTGAAGAATTCGGATTTGAAGATACCACTGTGGCCCAGACGAGCCCCCCCTCCATGCTCAGGAAATGTGGGTGTAGTCAGGGTTTAGTTAGGAGACCATGAATCGCTTCCTGTCCTGCCCAAGCCCCCAGTTTCAGGGCACCCACATTTTTCTAAGAAAGTCGAGAGGCCAAGGCACCGGAGTTGGAACACTGGGCAGAGAACCGGGTCAGCCCCGGGGCAAGGTGGAGGGGGCATGGCCCCCGCCTACCCTCCCCACTGCTCCCTGGGGCCTTGGCTTCCTCCTCTGGCCCACGAGACTTCTCCTGGCTCTGCTCACAGAGCCCCGGGGCGCCCACATCTGCTCCTGCCCTTCCTTCTGCCCATGACTCGGCCCCCACGAGAGGCCACCCGAGGGGAGAAGGCGGCTGCCAAGGTGGCGGGCAGAGTCAGGCTTGTCTGGAGGCCCCCCAGGCTGGGCAGTGGGGTGGGGGTGGAGGGAAAGCTGCCCTGCCTGAGCCTGCCCCCAGTGCCCACATCTGCCTGCCTCCTTCCTCCTCCAGCAGAGGCCGCCCCCTGTCCAGAGGCGCCTCTGCCGGAAGGCACTGTACAGGAAAAGGCACCCCTGCCTCTCCCACCACCCCTACTTGCAGGGATTTCCTGGGAAAGTCTCAGCCTCATTTTCCCCATCTGTTAAACAGGAATAGATGTGCCTGCTCTGCTTGCCTCTCAGGCTCAGGTATCTGTGGTTGCCCTGGGTGCATCCATGGGCAGGGAGCCCAGCTGGGTGCCAGGGGCCTCCTGCAGACCCGAACTCGCCCCACTCCAGGGAGGTCCTCACCTGGGGCTCGTCTTGGCCGGGGGAGCCCCCTGAACCTGACTGCTGGCTGCAAAGGTGGAAGGAGGCCCTGGCGGGGCGGGGGAGGGCTCTGTGCACTTTAGGCCAGCATCTTCTGAGCAACTTGGCCCTGCCTGCTGCTTTTCTGGACAGGCGCAGTTGATGTGGGGGCTGGGCTGGCTGCCGGGGGCTGCTGCTCTGATGTCTTCCCACCAGCAGGCTGTGGGGCTGGGCACAACCCCATCTCAGGTTCCCATCCATCCCCATCTTGCCCCCCCACACTCCTCAGGCACCCCCTGGGCAGGTCATGTGGCGTGCCCTGGCTCCCACCATCCCGAGGACAGATCTGCAGCTGCTGGCTGGAGGGAACAGAGCAGCCTTTCTGGCAGCCAGGGCTTCGGTGTGTTTGGCAAGCGGAGGCTGAGGGCCCAGGACAGTGATCAGTCGGTTCAGCTGCAGAGCCAGCCCCAGAGAGCCCCCAGCAGGCCCCGACACCCCTCCCGAGTGCATAGTCCCCAGTGACAGGCTCAGAGAAGCTGCCTGCCTGCCCTAGGTCTCATAGCAAAGTGAGGGTCGGAGCCTAAGGCTCAGCTGTTTCCCTAAGCATAGAGAGTCAGACTTAGTGCTGGCCTCCAGGTCACCAGAAGTCCCTATGCTAGGGGAGCACCCAGCCTCTCTGGCTTCTTCAAGCCTCGAGACCCCATGATCACACCCCGGGTCCCGCCAGCCCCAGGCTGGCTGAGCAGGACCCAGGGGAGCCCCCCAGAAGGCCCTGGAGCGGAGTAGGGAGAACGCTCCCACTCACCTACCTGGGCAGCGTGTCCCTCCTTCCTCCTCTGAGTTTGCAACCCCCAGGGCAGAGCAGGGCAGGCCTAGGCCTCCCGAGCCTGCTGCTGCCGTGCAGGACCCTTGCCCGGGTGCCACTGGACACCCAGGGCCGGGAGGAGGGGGAACAGCGGGAGAGAAAAGGAAGGGGAGGGTGAAGGTAGGGGAGCGAGAGGGAACGGAGAGGGAGGGGCGATGAGTCAGGGATGGAACGCCCAGTGGGAGCTTTGGAAGGCTCTGGGATCCACAGCCCACCTGGATAGGTGGGGGTGGGGTGTGGTGGTGTGATCTGGTCAGGCCCAGGGGACGCTGCGGGGAGGACTGGGTTCTCTACAGGAGTCCTCAGGCCTCTCCACCAGGGGAGAGGATGACAGGCGCTGGGAAGGCCAGCCTAGGGTGGGACTGGCTACTGGGGCCCCAAGTGGGCTGATGGGACCTGCCCTGAGGGGATGTGGGCTCTAGAGGAGGTGAGCCCGCTCAGAGCAGCCGTGCCTGATGTCACAGTGTCTGGGGGCCGCAAAGAGGCCGAGGGGGGGCACGGGAAAGAAGCCAGCCCTCCGGCCATTGGCTCCAGCACAGGTTCACTCTGAGGGGGAGAGAGGCTGAGGGCTGGGAGGCCCTACACCAGGGCTCCGTGACAGAGGGAGAGGACAAGGTTTGGCTGGTTCTCCCCTGCTCCTGGCTGGGCCCAGGCAGTGGGCAGGCTGGCAGGGCGGGGGCCGGGCGGGCTTCCCGGCACAGCCTTCACTTCCCCTTGGGGAACTGGCATGAGACTCAGCGGCCAGAACTATGCAGAGGGGAGGGGGCCAGCAGACACCGAGCCCATGGGAGGAGGCAAGAGACCTTCTCAGAGCCAGAGGAGCCAGGAAAGGCCTCAAGGGGGCGCCCAAGAGGAAGGCTCCCCTGTGTCCAGCACAATTAGTATCCTCGTTTGATAGAAGAGAAAACTGAGGCCTACGGAGAGGAACCGACTTTCCCCAAGGCACTCAGCCTGAGACTTGGAGCCCAGCTCAGGCGACTCCAGGCCCTGAATTTTCAGGCCTCAGCCAGGGCGCTCCCTGCACGTGCAGCATGGGAGTGATGGAGGCCTTTGGCCAGCTGGCTGGCTCAGCGTGGGCAATGCAGGGAGCCTGGGGGAGGAATCCGAGGCTGGTGGTGGTCGAGGTGGGGGGCTGAACGGCTGTAGATAGGCCCAGCCGCACCCCTCTCCAAGCCTGGCCCTGCCTTCTCCCCACCACCTCACACTGGAGCCCCACCCGTGTTTGCACACAGGCACGCACACACATAGGAGGTAGGCAGGGCTGAGGCGCAGGAAGCAGGAGCCCACCATGGACAGATACTGTGAGACCCACGGCAAGTCCCTGTTCCCCCACCTCCCCACACTACCCAGGCCTCTGGGCCTCAGTTTCCCTTCATTGGCCTCCCTGGGCTTGTCCCCAATGACTTCAAGGAGGACCTTGAGCCCCATCAAAGTGTGCTCTGAGCTCGCTGGACCCCACCTCCTCAGAGCAAAGGAAAGAGATGGAAATGGTGGTGAGGCCTTAGGCCCGGCGCCTACAGGTGTGAGCGAGGGAAGAGGCTGGGCTTCCTTGAGCCTGTGCTGCTGACCCAATAGGGCCGTCCTTGTCTGGCCCTCTGAAAGCCAGCGCAGTCATCCGAGTGAGATTGCTCCAGGTCACAGCCAAACAAGACACACTGGCAGTCTCTGAGAACATGGAGGAACCGCGCCAGGCATTCAGGCCAGGCCAAGGGTGGTGAGAGGAGGACTTGAGGGCTGGCATGCCCTGGGAACTTGCCTGCAGATGTGGGGCCCACAGCTGCCAAATCACACATGCTGGGTGCTGTCCGGCAGCCTCACCCAGGCTGTCTGGCCCCACGGAGCAACCTGGCCTGAACTCTGACACTGGTGCCACCTTCCGCCCAGCCCTACCAGGTCCCTAGGGCTGTGTGGGTGGGGAGGGGTGAGGAAGATGGGCAACGCATGACACCCTTCCTCCTTCCCCTCGGTCCACCAAAGCCCTCCAGGCCCAGCTTCAGCCAGCAGGCCAGAGGCAGGGCCTGCCCTGAGCTCTGCCCCACAAGTGGGCGCTGTGCCCAGGCTGACACCCAGCTGCTCCCTGCTGCCCTCTTGGGCCCCAGCCCATTGGCCCCCTGATGGCTCTAGTCTACACTTGGGTGTCAAACAGAGAGAGGGAGCACGTGCCACCCATGTGTCTGCTGAAGCCCATGTGTGTGTATGTGTGGGGGGGTGACTGTGTGAGGCGCTGGTGGCTGGAGTGAGGAGTGGGTGGACCCTGAGCCCTACTCCATCTGCGTCTACACCTTGGCAGCCCTGAACCCACCACCATTGCCTCAGCATGCTGTCCAGGTTACAAGGTGAACAGATGCCTAAGAGTGGCTGGCCAGGGCAGCTCCTGCCTGCTATGACCCTGGCGCAGCTGGGGTGACTGTACAGAGATGAGTCCTGTGCTTGGGCAGCCTTCAGGGACAGACTTGACCTGGCTGGGGGCATCGGAGGCTGCGGGGAACCAGCAGGGAGCCAGCCCATCGGCTGCAAAGGGCTGGCACCGGGGAGGTGGCGACGTGGCTGGTGGTGGCAGGGCCAGACCTCTCTCCCCATAGCATTGAGGAGAGCCATCTACCCCCTTTCCCATCAGAAAACCTCTGGAAAGCAGGAGGGTTGAACTACTGGACTTCTGCCATGCCAGGAGTCAGGCAGCAGATGACCCAGGTCAGCTGGGAGTCCTGGGTTTCCTGGTCCTTCCACACCTGAGCTGTGTGCCCGTCCTCCTCCCCCCACTCACTGAAGAAATTTTGAGCTCCTCCTTGCCACGATCTAGAACCTTCGAGGAAGAGGGAGGATGCTATCACCTCCAAGGGGTGGGGCAGGGGACTCAAGTGATTTCTTAACATAGC